CATCATCTTTCAGGATTTGAAATAGCTCAACTGGAATTCCATCACCTCCACTAGCTTTGTTCATAGTGATGCTTTCTAAGGCCCACTTGACTTCACATTCCAGGATGTCTGGCTCTAGGTGAGTGATCACACCAGCGTGATCATCTGGGTCATGAAGATCTTTTTTGTATAGTTCTTCTGGGTATTCTTGCCACCTCTTCTTAATATCTGCTGCTTCTGTTAGGTCCCTACCATTTCTGTCCTTTATTGTGCCCATCTTTGCATGAAATGTTCCCTTGGTATCTCTAATTTTCCTGAAGAGATCTCTAGTCTTTCCCATTCTATTGTTTTCCTTGATTTCTTTGCACTGATCTCTGAGGAAGGCTTTCTTCTCTCTCCTTGCTATTCTTTGGAACTCTGCATTCAAATGGGTATATCTTTCCTTTTCTCCTTTGCTTTTTGCTTCTCTTCTTTTCACAGCTATTTGTAAGGCCTCCTCAGACAGCCATTTTGCTTTTTTGCATGTCTTTTTCTTGGGGATGGTCTTGATTCCTGTCTCCTGTACAATGTCACGAACCTTCATCCATAGTTCATCAGGCACTCTGATGAACTCTGAGGATCTACCCCATGCCCAAGGGCAAACAGTGTTGTATCACTGATAATTTGTTTTGAGACCTACACTGTGTATATGTAAGACAATGGTGGTTTAAAGAAACATATCTTGAAGCATTTAAGGGTAAAAGGACATCATAACTGCAGCTTATTCTTAAATGGTTAAAAAGCAAAATAATACATACATATCCACTGGGTAAAGGATAAAGCAAATGTGGTAATATATTAATATTTGGGAGCCTGAGTAAAGGGCAGACAAACAGTGAGCCATTCGGGCCACTTATTTTATAAATCTGAAATTGCATCAAGATAAAAAGTCTAAAGAAATCAGCAAATTTCCAAGATAATTTGCTAACATTTGTTAAGTTTCTTGTTAGCCATGTTTCAGGTATTGTTCTACTGCCTTCTTTATATTCATTTAATTTTCACAATAACCCTGTGAATAAATGGTGGTCTGTCTCCTTTTCTCAAATGAAGAAATTGAGGCTCAGGGAGGCCAAATAATTTTTCCAGGGTCCTATAGTAGGTAATTAAGTGGCAGAACCAGGATTAAAATTGTTAGTCTAGCTATTTAAAATAATTATATTATGGGTGAGAGATGGCTATTTTAGTTTTAATGTCAAATCATTATCTCAGACTAATGATATACTTCCCTGGTGGCTCAGATGGTAAAGCGTCTGCCTACAATGCGGGAGACCCGGGTACGATCCCTGGGTCAAGAAGATCCTCTGGAGGAGGAAATGGCAACCCACTCTAGTACTCTTGTCTGGAAAATCCCATGGACAGAGGAGTGTGGTAGGCTACAGTCCATGGGATTGCAAAGAGTCAGAAACAACTGAGCGATTTCACTTTCATTTTCAATGATACATTGTACATTTATTTAGTTAGATATGCACCTCTTTGAGTGAAGAATAGAAGTTTTGTCAATTATTAGAATTGTATTTATGTCTACGTGTTATCTAAACAACACACTACCAACCTGAATTGTACACACCTCTCAAGACTTATATTAATCTTTTTTTTTTTGAAAGGGCAGTTAAAATTTAAAACCAGCAAATAGTTAATTAAAGAGAACTGATATGTACAAATCCTCAGGAAGAAAACTCAAGACTCATTAATCTACAATGATTTTTAGCACATTATTATGCTCAGGAAGACATCCTAAAGTGTTTGAATTATTGACATTAATTATTGGAATTATGAACTATGTTAAGTGTCTTTTCAAATATTTCATAAGGTTTCAGAAATTGAAGACAGTGTAAGTAAAATTATCAGTGGTAAAATTTATCCAGTCACCTTAGACTATTACAGATACCTATGTACATTAGCATTTTATTGAAGACTAATCCGACATCAGCAAGGTCTAAAATCTCAAGTTCTCCCACCTCACTTCTGTCCCATATCACACCCCCCCCCCCCCCCCAGCCAAGGTCAAGATTGTTTTACAATGAATAATTCACATACTCTTTCACCTGATTTTTCTGGATATCAGAGAAATAATTTGTGAGACTGCTGAGTAAGGTTCTAGAAGAGAAGGTAACTTATTATAAAGCCAGTAATGAAAATCAAACCTTAGCATCTCAAAAGAGTTTGCTTAGAAATCAATTCAGTCTATAGACTGAAGACAAGAGTAGTGGACCTTCTCTTTTTTTTTGCTACTCAACATCTAAAATCCCTTCATATGCTAGAGGTATACAAGCTTATGAGGCACAGCCCCTCTTATTACACACACTGAAATATAGGATATTTTTCTGGTCTCCATTGCAGCTAGAGCATGGGTATATGACCTGGGCTCTGCCTGTCAGAATCACCTGCTCCATTCTTTGAATTGAAAATTCATGAGGCCAAAAAGTAGGTATGGAGACAGAATCAGACATGGTGGGTAGGATTTGTGCATCATTTTCACAGACAATAATGGGAACACTTTCAGGGCTAGTGCTCAGAATCCAGACCAGGGTCGGTGATGTGAGCTGGGGTGCCTGGGGCCCAGGGATGGCAGCCGTGGTGATTTCACCAGCACATACTTGCCTGGAACTATGAATACTTT